TGTGTTTTTCTGTCAATATGGGGTGCTGTGTGTACATTAATGAGGAAAAAAAATTAACTTAAATGATTTTAGCAAATGGCTGCAATATAACAAAGAGTGAGAAATTTAAGGGGGTCTGAATACTTTCCGTACCCACTGTATATACACATACACATTGAAATATACTTTGTAATACACATAATTTATTTATTGTTTTAATATAATTTTACATAATTATTACAATTTATAAATATTACAATTATTATAATTATATAATTTAATATAATTTTTAATTTTAAGTAACTTCTATACTATATGTATAGCAAAAATGTATACTGAAATAAATTTATATGAATTATATATTAATGCACAAAAATAAGCCTGAAGAGGTTAAATACTATATATATTTATACTACATAAACATTTCAGTTTTTATTTTTAATTTGAGTAATTATTATTATATAATTTAATATAGCTTTAATTATTAAAAAGCTTTAATTAGCTTTTTTACTTTTATTTCAGTTTTAGTAATTTTAGTAATGAATTTTTATAATTCAAATGTATGTAAATATACTTGTTTTTTTAACATGATAGAATTTAGCTTCACCTAAAGGCTTGATTTTTGTGACTCACCAGCGCAGGATACCATGTGGTTTTCTTCTTGTCGCTAGTGACGACTCCATCCACACACACCACTTTGCCGTAAAGCTCTTCGTTTTGCTGCTGATCGCCCTCCTCTTCCTCACTAGACGATGAAGATGACTCCTCTTCTTGACTGTGGAACCAGATCACAGGTTAATGTGAAATAAACAACAGACTGAAAGATGTAAAACTTCAAAAACGTGGCTCATTTTACATTTACATATGAATTTCATGAAATCATATTCAGATCACATTTGACCAAAACCAAACATTATATATTACATACAGAAAATTACATGTATGTTCAGGTAAATTAAGAATGATTGTATTATGACATTATTTGCATGACAATCAAACTATATATATATATATATATATATATATAT